AGGGAGCTATTCGGAAGCTTGTGACTAAATTTCGTACCCAGTTTACATTATTGGACATTAAACCACCAACACGCAGACGTAGAGTGAGGACTGAAGAAAATATTGCAGCTGTATCCGCCAGTGTTAGTGATGACCGTGAAATGTCGATTCGCCGCCGTTCGCAGCAATTGGGCCTCTGTTACTCCACTACGTGGAAAATTTTGCGGCAGGATTTGGGTGTAAAACCTTATAAGATACAGCTGGTGCAAGAATTGAAGCCACACGACCTCCCACAACGTTTCCAAAGTTGGAGGAAGATCCACATTTTTATCGAAGCGACGAAGCTCATTTCTGGTTGAATGGGTACGTTAACAAGCAAAATTGCCGCATCTGGAGTGACAACCAGCCAGAACCATTGCAAGAGCTACCAACGCATCCCGAAAAAATCACTATTTGGTGTGTATTATGGGCCGGTGGCATCATCGGGCCGTACTTCTTCAATGGCCGGAAAGTAACTGTGAATGGCGAGCGCTACCGTGCGATGATAACAAACTTTTTTTGGCTAAAATGGAAGAGCTGGACTTGGCTGACATGTGGTTTCAACAAGACGGTGCCACATGCCACACCGCACACGGAACAATGGCCCTATTGAGAGGCGAGTTCGGTAAACAGTTTATCTCACGTTTGGGGCCCGTCAATTGGCCGCCTAGATCGTGTGATTTAACGCCGTTGGACTATTTCTTGTGGCTCCATGTTAAGGCTAATATCTACAGGGATAAACCAGCAACGATTGATGCACTGGAAGCCAATATTGAAGCATTTATTCGTGAGATACCGGCCGATATGTTGGAGAGAGTGTGCCAAAATTGGACCTTGCGCATGGGCCATCTAAAGCGGAGCCGCGGCCAACATTTACATGAAATAATCTTTAAACATTAAATTATATCGACCGTTCTATCGACTCAAATAAAGATTTGAAGGTTTTTTCAAATTTTTTGTGTTTTTTTTGAAAATCAAATCCTATACCTCTTAAAAAATTACCCGTTACTATGCACTTTAACGTAAAAATCGCTAAGCGCCAGGGGACCCAACCGGGGCATAGCTCGTTCTTGATATGACTTAAAAAATAGTGGAGTTATGAAGTAACAAGGGATGCATGATCTGCGTAGGGAACAGAGGTGAGGGTACTCGCGAGTCTTAACATATTCTTTCCGTGCGTGAAAACACGACTGTCATGTTTTCTAACAAAACCCGAATGAAAATTTGTTTTTGTTTAATCCGTGTACCAAGTCAAAAAGCCTTGGTGTTTCCTCTTAAACTTACACACTTCTGTTTTTCTTTACTCTTCTCCGTTTCCCTGCAATATTTTACAAAGTGTTTTTATTAAATATATCAATGGTGACTCGTACTCTGTAATGGTTTTCAAGAACAACTGCATAAAATGAAAATCTGGTCGGAATGCTGATCGGCAATCTTGTCCGCCGCAGCAGGTTCATTTTTGGCGTGAAAGGTCCTCTCATTTAATAACAAGATATCCTAATCGGACTTCGACTTTGAAGCTGACCGAAATACTTCTGTACAAATAATGAACTTAATTGCTGAAAAAAGACATTTTACACAATCGTACTTCTATATAGACTCCGTCAATAAAAGGCATAACTCGCAACGGCTTTCTAATATAACGAAACCGCATTTAGCAGATTTCATAGAGCAGTCAATTTAGATGTTCTCGGATACGCTATAAGGTATTTAGAAAATGAATTTTTATAGTTGCTGAGGTTAATTAGCGGATACGAAACACACAATATTGTTTGAATTATTTTGAAATATACTTGAATAAGCTAAAATAGAAAACTTAACGAATAGAAATAAATGAGCGACTTACTTTCTGTTCAAAATCGTAAGAAACCAAAAAATATAATAATTTGTTTCACAATTGGCAATGCTTCAAGGAAAACTGGATAAAGGAAAAGTTGTATTACTCATATAGCTAACGCACCTTTTAATAGGAAATTTGTTGTCATACTACCTCAATCAGTAGTATGATAAAATTTCATAAAAAGCCATCGCCGAGAGCCTGTTTTAAAGTAAGAACTAATTGAGCATCGTGCTAACGCATCCTGTCACGTGATGTCCATTCAACCTCAGACATTCATAGCCAGTTTTTCAGTGCTATTACGTTTAACGTCTCTGTCGGTGTTGCTTGCTGCTTTCTTTGTCATTATATCACTCAGTAAACCCGCCCGATTGTGAGAGCACTCAGCAGTTCTGTTTTTGAACGCAAAAAGTACGTCCTCCTATAAATGCTGACAGGTGCTGTGAAACATTGTTGAAGCTTAAGCTCGCTATTCAAAACCGCCAGCGGGGTCTGATCTCTAGCAGCGTAAGTCTGCTTCAGGGCAACGCGTGGCCTCACTTTGCGATAAGACGTAGACACAACTGGACAAATTTCGTTGGGAACTACAGGATCATCCACCATACCGCCCTGACTTAGCATCATCACACTTTCATCTTTTTCCAAAACTTAAAGGAAATTCTTGGTGAGAAGTGCTCAGAAAATGATGACATCATATAAGAAACAGTTACCAACGGTGAGGCTCCAGCGTTATTTTGATGAAGGGATTCAGACGATGGTGTCATGCATGGATAAATGTTTAAATATTTATGGTGACTATGTTTAAAAATAAAAAAATGTTCATATTTTAATTCGTGATACAATTTACAATTTCACAAAATTCTCCGACTCCATTATAAAACGGTGCTTACATAAAAAATATTAACCTAGTATTAATTTTGATCCAATAATCGCGTATACGGATTCCGCTGCCTTACAAATCGTGTATCTAATTATACCATACTATTAATATTATACGGTTATAGAGACACCGTCCTCAATATTCAGTTTCCTATTTTCCAAAAAAGGAATTCTGCTCGGCAAGCAGCAGCGGCCGATATGGAAGTCGAAACTTTTCTACATGCATCTGCGTTCTTTTGTTTGTCAAGAGGTTGGTGGTCATACAGACACTGCCGCCTGAGAACTCAGTTGAAATATGGATGCTATGTCGTGGACTCCACGAGATTCTCGGTATTCCTTTCTTTGATGATGCGTCCGATTGGATGTCTCGATTTGCATGGTACTTCCTTAGCTGGCAAACTATAAAGTTATGCCACGTCAGTTCAAAGCTTTTCAGAATATTACAGAACCATCCGAATTCGAGCTACCAATAACTTTATAAAAGCTGTAGAACTAATTTAATTGCAGATATTCTCATGTCGATGATAAATGTTGATTTAATAATGCAGGTTCGTCATTTCTATCAAATTGTCATTAATATCTGGAACATTACAGTCCAGGGAGCATTTTCGATCTGCTTGGAAATTCTGATTCGTTTTTTTGCATAATCTTATTAAAAAAGGACTACTTTTATTGTTGCCAAGCTCAGATTTGTATCAAAATTTGTTTAAACATTTTTTTTAAGCAAATTCTAAAAATTGTTTTTTGCTCCGGTTAAAGTGCTTTTAGGTTTTTTAGGACTTTCAGAACACAAAAGATGCTTTAGAACACTTCTTCTAAAGTTGCTTTTTCAATAAATAAGCGTTTTAATATTTGAAAAAGTGTGAAGAACAAAAATTTGAATGTTGTCAAATATTCGATGCGAGATGCGCACATACGCTATTACGTGATTTTCGAAAATCACAATCGCTGGTGGTTAGATTTTGATTAAAGCTTGTTTGTTTCTTGAGTGGCGATAATGTTTTGGTAAATACTCAGAACAGCCCTTTTGGGACGACCGAAATGACAATGACATTTTGTTTTCATATACAGAAATAGTAAGTATTGGATTGAAATTAAATAGGTTCAAGTGAAATTATACCCCAAGAAATCAACTTCCTACTTGTATAAGTGTCTTAATCAGTGATATTTTTTTTAGGTCAATGATTTGGTGTGACTCAATTGTTGATATTTCTCTATTATAAAAATGGCATAGATTTTTTCTCTATTATACAGTCCTTCCAAAAAAGTGTCCCTCCCATATTTATTTTTCGAACGAGACAAGTAAGCATGCTGATAGTATTCGGCACAAAACATATGAAATGTGATCAGCGGTCAAATTTAATGAAAATTCATACAGTGATGTTGGGCTGATGAAATATTTCAATGTGCGCAGGGTGTCTCAAAGATTGGTGCCTTGACCCCTGTAGATACGCCTGCATATATTCTGTTTCCAAACGTGTATAATATGTCATACATTGATACAGAAAAACCTTAGTTCTTTCAAAACTCATCGGATGAAAAACGAAAATGAAAATAATTGCAATGTCGAGTCAAAAAAAAAACAATTTGGGGAAAATTATATCGTTAAGTAGGTACACGTAACAACAGCAACTAAGGCAGATCTTTGACACCCTGCATCACAAGTAGAAAGCATTTCGGGGCTTTGCGCCTATTGAATCATCTGATCAGCACAATATGAACTATCACTATAAAAATTTTCATTAAATTTGACCGCTAATCAAATTCCATATGTTTTGTGCCTGATACTTTGGGGTGATGTTATTTTTTAAGTGGATTCTTCTAACCTGGCTCAACTTAGTTTATATGAAGTTATTACTATTCATATTTGTTCTAATTCATGAGGTTCTTAAGCAGCGGTGTACAAAACGCTACAAGCAAAGGATCTGCGGTACATCGACATTTACATAATTTTATGTACAGCCATGAACGAAAAAGGCGGTGCGCTGTGGGTCGGTTTTGATAATTTCGAATTTTTATGCATGCTATAAAATAGGGAATATAGTATCTTTCACGAAGGAGAACGTAAACAGGAGGCAAATATCATTTTTGTATTGGATCGAGTCACGACCAAACATGAATGACTTCTGCAGCTGTAACTTGCAACGATATGTCTACATCTAAAGGCGAAAAAATGTTCGAAGCTTTGGACATTGAAACCACATGAGCTTTCCTAGATATTCAGAGATTATTATGGATATCATGGAGTTATGAGAGACAAACTTACGTTTCATGGAACTCAGGTGACCTAGTATTGTTCCTAAATTGACCAGGTGGTGAAAGACTTTCGGTATCCGAATAAGTTCCTATTGGGTCTTTGTAAATTTTCTCTCGGTTCCTTTGGATGGTACCTTCTGTCAAACTTCTTTTCAGAGGATCGTACCGTTTCGTTTCTTCTCTGTAGTACTCATCTCTGCTGCAAATAAAAAATGAGTGATATTCCAAATGCAATACAGTCGGAATGCTATTCAGACACATGTGAGTTGTGGATATTTGACAAAGCCATACCACTCATTTCCGTAAATCTACATGCCTGTGAATACCTAACCTGTTTTGCAATTAAGTTACTGATGTGATGCATTTTTTCGGTGTTTTTTTTTACTACTTCTTGGATGACTTTGAGCATGAATTTAGTGCTAAAAATTATTTAGACGTTGTAGGCCAAAAAATAGGGTGAGTATATGGAAATCCTTCAATTATTACAACAGTTATTTTTTTTTGGTGATTTTGATGTACAAGGAGGAAAAGTTAAAAAATAGCATTTTAATGTGAATCCATATTTCTACTACCTCGTGTTAGTATCTAAAATGATGACTTGTGATATTTTCATTATGAAGAAAGGTTAAGTCACTCAGTCTACCAGTCTGTCTATTGGCGATTTTGCCTTTGCGTAATTTCAGTAACCGTTAGAGCGATTTAATAGGAGATGAGATATAGTAGATAATGCAAGGGAAACTGGTCAATATACAGACTGATGGAAGTAAGTGACAGTGATGATGAATGCATTAGAAATTATCCAAAGGTATTACATTATCCATACTCACGAGTGACAGTAAATGATTCACATTAAAAAGGTATTCTATCCCGTCTTGAAAACGTGGACAACGTACGTCGCGTACAGGGTATGCCGTGATATATTTTTTTAACTTTCCCTTCTTATGCTTCAAGAACTATTAAGCTGTCAAAAGACCTAAGAGATCTTTTTCATAACAAATTTTATTTTCTTCAAAAACATAGTAGTCTTTATTCTTTTAGGCTCTTAGTTTAGCCATTATCGGCGTAAATATCATTTCATGTACTTTTACCCTAAAATTTCGCGTAACATACATAATTGTTTCTATTACTTATTTTACAAAGATTCCATGTTTTTTTTTTAGATTTTCGGTAAAACACGTTTATGAAAATGTTGCCCTATGATGGAATATGGATATGATTCCCGTGAGCCTTTAACCAGTAGCATGTTGAGCGAAGAGGAAAAGGAAGCCCAAAACAAGGACTTTTGCAGATTTAAGGAGAAATATGTTCGTAAAACTAGCAGACCTGACACGAATTTAGATGTCTTCAGTTCGATACAAATTTTCTCAGACCTTCCGCTGCCATCTTAACGTAGAATTCAATTTCACAAAAGTGGAAGCTTAAATGGAAAAATAAAAAGCATTTAGTAGTGTCTTCCGTTTAAACATCCTGGCTTAATTAGGAAATCCTATATACGTTTTTCATAAATTACAAAGTACCATGCAACATATTTAATTGTCTTTCAAATTGGCTGCCGACAAAATAACTGTCCAAAATACCATATATTCAAGTTTTAAGGTTACATAAAATCAACTAAATCAAATAGTATTTATATATACATATTTTCAAATAACGTGTTAGCGTCAGAAGTTCTCGTTGTATGACAATTTTCGGATTTTAATTATTTTATTGAATTTACCCTAAAAACTGTGGAGTAAGCTTGAAAGTCGTTTTACTGGAGCATATAACGAATAAGGTAGATCATAAAGCCCTTTAAATCTAGTCTTGTCGGCTTTCCAGAACTTTAGGGGTTTTAGAATTCCGGGCCCGGCCCCACTGTGTGCTCACCATAAGTCACCAGCGCCCACATGTGGACCTTGAGAAACACTGTTCTATGCGGTCGGCATACTAATTTTACCAAAACGTTAGATAAAGGTTATATCTCTACATGGCCAATGTATTATTGTTGTTTCTGAGGAGCATACTTTAACTTTCACTTCAAAATCCATAAACAATAAATACGATGTCTGTAAATTAAGTGATGAAACTGGCAACGTATCGTTTGATCTGGCAACACTGGAGGCGCCGGGCTTGTAGGGGAGACTGGTGAACAGGTGATCTGCCTTCAGTACAAGTTTGAACTAGATTGAGTCATTTGATTGTCAGTAGCGATTTTTTTTTCGTGAAACAGTTTTTTCTATTGTGTTCTAAAAATGAGAGGCATCAATTTCAATCAACGGTGTGATATCAGGTTTTGCCTCAAATTTGGGCACAGCGGAACGGAACTCTTTTTTAACAGTCCCACGGAGATAGTGTTTTGTCAAGATCCCAGGTCTTTCGGCGGTTTTAGACATTTTCAGAAGGAAGAGAGTCGATTGAAGATGAACCACGAAGCGGAAGGCCTTCCTCTTCAAGAACCGATGAAAATATCGACTGAATCCGGGATCTTGTGCAGATCATCGGTTGACAGTCAGAATGATCGGAGAAAAGTTAAATTTGGCTCACACCACCATTCATCAGATCAAGAGCTGCTGGGTATTGTATAACGATAATGCTCCTTGTCACACAGCAATGTCTATAAACGAGTTTTTAGCCAGTAAAAACATTCCTGTGGCTCCTCAGCCTCCTGATCCGCCCGACTTGTGTGCTTGCGACTTTTTTCTCTTTCCAAACTGAAAAATCACCTCAATGGAACTCATTTTGATGCAATCGAAAACATTCAAACGGCTGTAACGGACCAGCTGAAGGCTATTCCAGTATCGGAGTTTCAGCACTGGTATGAGGAGTGGAAGAACCATCTCCAGCGCTGAGTGGCTTCAGACGGAAGTTATTTTGAGGGTGACAATATAAAATTGTAATTATATTTGGATAAAAAGTTAAAAAAAATCAGTCATTTACAGATCGTATAGTATAGGGCTAAAAATATGTACATGGTAAACATTGGCAGCAGCGGTGGCCGCAGTAGTCGACTCTTCGGTCTCCTGATCAGCCGCCGTGCGCTGTGCGGGTTCGAATCCCATCCCAGGAGAAAATGTTCTCTTGGCTATTGGATGTTGTAATTTTCCGTAGGTGGTAGACGGTCTCTGACTGTCGAACGCGGAGGTATCACCCGGCGGATCTCGAGGGCGGGGCCAGAATGTGTGCATGTTGCATGCACAGGTGTTCCCTCGCCAGAGTCCTGTATCTCCCCATAGCCCCACGGTACCCCATGGGTGTTTAGGCCTTAGGCCTTCGTGGTAGTTGGAGTATAAAAAAAAATTGACTCACCTAAGGTTCTTCTTGGGTTTGGCGTTAAGAGCACTGCTGGTGAAAATATCATCGATGGGGTCGTATTTGGCAGGAGAAGACGAATACGAATGAGAATTGTTGTGGTAGGGGGATTTCGAGTAGCCGTAGTTGTTGTACGAGTTGGACTTCGAGTTGAAGTCTGGACACACCTGGGCTTGCACTTTTTGCAGCGTATCACCATGGCTGCGGTTCACGGTCGCTTTTCGAACCAGGCTGGGACTGCTTAGCTTCTTCGAATCGCCGATCATGGTGGCGTTGACACCGTAACTAAAACAAAATCCATCCATAATCCAATGATACATGTACAATTAAAGCATCTGCCTTCCTTCAAGACGAATGTTAAAAGGATGGGCAGCGACGTATTCAATTTTCCTTTAAGCTTTGATCCTCATTTTCAGCTATTAGAACGAATTTCCCTGAACCGAAAGTTGTTCAATAGGTAGCATACGAGATACTGGGATTTCAAGGTTGGACCTTCATTTTAGACATAAAATTGTCTTTATACTTCCCACGTCTTCATTATGAATTTATAAATTGCAAAATTTATAAGATTCTGATTAATTTTAGATTAGTGGCTCGAATTTTGGATATATTTTTTCCTCATGACATTCACTTCTTATGACTCAAAATGAAGACAACAGCACGGCTATTATGTGAGAATATTAAAACACAACAAGTGTAGAACAGCTTTTGCTAAGGTAACATCTTGTAGAAAAACCTATGTTATGTCAAAAAAAAAACCGACGCAATGTCAAAAAAAAACAACTAATTGTCACTTTTCAAGATACGTAATACCCGTGCAGGTCGTTCCGAGTTATAGAGGTGCCAAGGATCAGCGGACAGAGACCGACCGGAGAAAATGACTAACATGGTTTTGCATCATTTGTGTAACATCACATACAGGGTGCAAAGTTAGGAAGTCAGGTGATAGAGGGGATAATCTATACATCTGAATATACAAATGTCAACCAACTGCGCCAGAAAATTGATGAAGCAAAAATTAAAATTATGGAAAACGCAAATTTATTTTAAAGACTAAAGGACAATTTTATTAGAAGGTGTCGCTCGTGTATCGAAAATAATAGAGGCCATTTCAAACATATTTTTTAAAAATTAATTAAATTAAATTATCTTCCACATTTGTCGGTAATTCGCCATAAAGAGCGGCTAAACACAATAGGTTCTGTACTTGTAGGTGGTAAGGATTCTATTGCGTTTCTTACGTTTATCGCATCACAACAACGAATGTGACATGACACACTCATCGTAACAAGCTGAAATTTCCAGGGTTTAGTCTACATGGATTGAAATAGTTTTTACAATAAAATAACCATTGCTAAAACTAACCATTTAGCTTATTTAGAAACAAATCACAGCCCTAAACCTAACGGTTTAGTTGTAATTACGATTGAAAGTTCATTATCCCGTTTTTTAGAAATTTCACAAAATTGCAAATATCTCCTGAACTATAAAATTTCGGACCACAAATATAGGGGTTCATTCGATAGGTTTTTAGGTAATCTATCACCTGACTTCCGTTGATACACTACTAACTTTACACCCTGTATATATCTGATTGATACAAATTTTTCGCGACTACAATACAAAACGGCTTAACACAACCAAAAAGTTATACTCTTAATAGAAATAAAAAATCGTTGTAGGTTATGTATAGGATACTGACAGCAGGATTCCATCTAGTTAGCTGGCAGATGTGCCACTTTCGCGTATCAAGTAACAAATATATGAGTTCAGAGTGAGATCACAGCTTTCGCCTTGCTGAGGAAATAAAGGATCAGGATCTATAAGCGGGGTTTTAGGCCCTAAAAGCAACTCACATTTCAAGTTGATCGCATCTATGAAATTCTTGCATTTGAATGTCTTAGAACATATGTATTTTAAACGGTCAAAAACATTTTCTTTTTAATTTAGTACTTTATTATTTCTCAAAAGCACAAAGTTCTGAATATTGGCATTTTTGTCCAGTTCGTCAGTATGAGATAATCACCCTGTATAGATTGTGAAATTCTAATTTTACTAAAATATATGGTGAAGAATGCGGCAACGAAAATTAGAAGGAAAAATAAATAATACGAAGAAAATATTTCTGATGAGTCATTGTGGTCTATTACCACACTTCTCGGAAAATAATACTAATAGGAAATCAGTCAGGTTGAACATAAATAAGATGCATAATAATTCTTGTGAGACCATAAACCTGTACCTTCTGTGCGGTTTACTCAACCGTGGTTGAACTACTGTATTATGATGATATATTTTAGTACTTTCGTTTAGTTGCTCCTTGGATTTGACATATAAATCTTATAAATGATCATGTAGCTACCACGAAATGAACAACAAATCTTCATTCCGTGTGATTTATATTTTTTATTTTTTATATTCAGAGAAAAAATGTCTTCATGTGGGTTGAGTCTACTTTCCACGTCTTAGTTATCTGATGGTTGATTTTTTAATGCTTGTAGTAACACAGTTTTAGTCATAGTAATGTTCTCGATACATTTTGTAGAAGATTTTCCACCAGGTCTACAATTCATTTTAAGTGGTTAGATTGTTTTCAGTTAAAAATCTTGATTACTTTTCATATGAAACAATCTTCTGAGAATAAAACTTATTTACTACTGATAATCAATAACGATAAAACGAGGCGAAAAAATTAATTTAGTTTATCGAACACATCAAAGATATATGATTTCAGTTTGATCAAAAAGATTTGACATATCTGTTATCGACACCTTCACGTATGATGAGGTAATGAATATTAAGGATAATGGTCAGTTGATTTGGATGCTTCGAAGGCACCTGCTTTGTTTATGTTATGTCAAGTGGCTGCTAAGGTAGGTACTCGATACTTATTAGCCCTAAACGAAGAGCCTAGCAGCTGCCGCTAGTGACGGGATGTGTTTATGCCAAATCAAGGCCTCGGTGATCTGGACTCCGACCAGCCGAAATGAACGGCTCGTTGGCAGAACTCGTCCATTCATCGAAATCGGAGGGGCGCTAGGATGCTTTTTGTTCGTCAAGGTACAGTACTCAGTTTTGAAAGCATTAAACTCTACAAGACTGTGACCTCCAGGTCTCTCGTCAGATAGAAAGTCGCTGCTAGTCTTTTTTTCTTTAGCTCACAAGTCCGCGCCTATTTATTATTGATGTTTTCAATAGCTTGAATTATTGGGGTATTTTTCGGCTAACCAATTCTGGTATATTAACTGAATTGAGAAAGATTTACTGTGGAATTAACGTGATTGGCATCGAAGGCTCCTAAGAATGTGTTGTTTACATCTAGATTATAGCTCCAACCATCTAGATGGTGCAGAATGCGAAGTTTTACTCATTCCACCTTCACTATTGAATGGAATTCATTCAATTCATAAAATATACGAAAAATACATTACAGAACTTTAACGTTGCGAAATATTTTTAGGATCATCCAAACTGATCTGAAGACTGCGTTATATAAATAGTTTTTATATGTGTAAAGCTGGCAGGGACTTCAGTGGGTGGCTTATATTAACTGTAATTTATTTTTAAAACAACACTACCACATTTTTATTCGCTTTGCCATTTGTTTATTATGAATAACTTAAAATCCTACACATGGGGAACGATAAAATGAATGAGATTGATAGAGAGCATTTGAAAGCACAACTATCGTCGGAACTGTGTTGCCATTTGGTAGTTGATTGGATTCACGTCTATCAGTATAATTATGAGAATTTCGTTTCAAAATTAGAAAATTGATTAGAAATCATGGATCGGAACAAATAATTCTTGCAGTTTTGAAAAGAAGAGCTACTCCTTGATGTGTCCAGATGAACTAAAAAATCAAAATAATAATAAACTTCAACTTAGGAATTTCTATTTCACGAGCTACAGGCTCGATAAACTTTGGTAGATTCGTCTATATAGCACAATTGAAGATTCATTCTTTTTTAGTCGCTGCAGTCGGGTTTTTTGCATTTCCAAAAATGCAAATATCAACTAAGATACCCTGTCGCTTCTAAATTATTGATCTTACAGTAAAATGTTTATAACGTAATCTGTTGTATATTTACTGTAGATTGTTAATGTATAATTATGAAGATTGCATTAATATACTAAGTGACATATAAATCCGAACACCCAGTTTAAATGGTTTTATTTTAATAAAATTTTGTATAAGTACTTAATGAAGCATAATAAGTAAATGATAAAAATTTCAAAATGATTGCACTGCTTTAAAGCCCTTTGACCTTTAATAATGTGTGGATGCACCCTGATGTGCTACGCATTCTCCAACGCGCCTAGGCATGCTTCTGATCAGGTGGTCAATGTCCTCCTGTGGTATCTCATTCCAGGCAACCACCAACTCCTCTCGAAGTGCTTCTAGAGTCTGAGGAGGACGTTGCAAATTGAGCAATCTCCTACCCATAATATCCCACACGTGCTCAATTGGGGATAAGTCGGGAGATCTTGGTGGCCATGGTAACAATGTGATATCATTATGTTGAAAGAAGTCTATTGTGACTCTTGCAACATGTGGTCGGGCATTATCTTGTTGGAAAGTTGGATCTGCCAGGGTGTCAAGATAGGGTAAAAGATGGGGTTCTAGAACTTCGTGGATATAACGCTGCGCGTTCATGTTACCTCTGATGAAGATTAAAGGTGACCTGGAACCATAAGCTATAGCACCCCAAACCATAACTCCAACAGTGTGATGAACATGTCTTTCAAAAAAAAACTGTGGATTCCTCCTTTCACCACGTCGCCTTCTAACCCTGGCACGACCATCGTGCATGCCTAAACAAAATCGAGACTCGTCACTAAAGACAATACTGTTCCATTCCTGATCCCAGAGTGACCGTTGTCTGCACCACTCAAGGTGATTACGTCGGTGTTCTCGAGTTACAGGGAGGACCCAGTGTGGCCGGTAGAAAACAAGCCAAAACTTCTCATTCGTCGGTAAACACTTCGCATGCCAATAGGTCTTCCGTGTTCTGCAAACCATTCATTTGCAATGGACCTGGTAGTGGATAAACGGTCCCTTAAGGACAATAATCTTAGGCGGCGATCTTCACGGTCTGTTGTTCTACGGCGGCGTCCAGTGCCCCTTGCTCTTTGCGTACGGCCTTCTCGAAGCCATGCCTGACAACACCTAACATCTAACTGCAATTGCCCGAAAAGAAAGTCCAGCTTCCCGAAGTCCCACTATACGGCCCCTATCAAACTGACTAAGTTGACGAAATCGTACAGGTCTCCGTACTCTAGGC